CATTCCACATTTGGCTCCCGATAATCCACGCCCCGCCGGCGATGGAAATCACGATGGGAAACTTTTTCACCCGGGGAAGGTCCGACCGCGCGTGGGCCTCCGCATCGCTTCCATCGTAACTCGTCTCCGGCGCCGTCCCGCACGGCAAATGAGTTTCCTCCTGCCCAAGGCGAAGTAAAGCATCGAGCGGCATGGGCAGGTAAATGTCGAGGGTGGCGCGATTGTGCAAATTCGCCTGATCCTCCGCGTCGGCGTCGGAATCATCCGAGGGGTCGAAAACCTCCTCCGAGTCCGATCCTAAGCCGGCCGCCCTCTCGTTGGCGTTGAATGGCGTGCCCTCCTTTTGGGTGATTTTGTGTAGGAATTCCCGGACTTCCGTGATGGAGGAACTGGGCGATAACATCGGGGGGGCCGTGGGATGGACGGGAAAGTCATCGAGATAAAATCCCTCCGCGGGGCTCAACATCGACGCCAGGGCATCGATGGGGTGTTGGGAAGGTTGGGCCGGGCGGAAAAGGCCCCGCGCCGCGTCCTGCTGTTGGACGCAGTGCCGAAACTCCTCCCGGGAGTTTTGCCGCTTCGTCGTGCGGGAGCCGCGGTAGGCGACGTGGCGTATAATCTGGGGCGAGGTCAGATACCACACCAGCGTTGAGGCGAAGTGGGCGGCGTTTAGGGCGAAGAAAATCACACAGCGCGTGGACAGGACGACCCACCGAAGGCCGAGCCCGAAGACCGCAAAACACCCCGCAACCGACATGTAAACCCGTTGGACCTTGTTGCGGACATTGTTGAGCACACGCCGCATAGTTGCATTATATATCTATCTAAATATATCTATATATATATAAATATATATTATGTTATTATGTTGAAAGATCTTGTCTACAGGTAATTCATAGGGAATCATTGATTTGAAAAGAATGGATCCATACAGGGGTGGATTTGTAGGGGTCGATTGGGGGTTTCCCATTGAATTCGGTTTCATGTTTTTCGCTTGGTCTATACTTTTTGGTAATCTTCTAATTCGGTATAAACCACAACACCCAAAGATGAAGCCAAAGAATAACTACAACGAGACCAGTAAGGTTTGGGCCATCTGGTTCGCTTCTATAGGTGCACGTGGCTTAGCCATCGTCGTTATCACCTTTCGTTACCGTTGTATTCTGCATTGTATTTCTCTGTGTATAACTTTGCTCGCTTCGCAGAATTTTGCAGAGGTAAAACTGAAATATAACGCAAGGACAACCTAAAGGGAGATCCATAGAATCCACTAGGATCTCACGCCATGCGGTTCACGCCTGGAGACGAGTCGCTTCATCCCATAAGTGCAAGAAGTATAGCCCTTTAAGGGATTCCGACCACGCATGCGCCAACTCCTCGCCAACGGTCTCGGAAAGCACCATCTCATGGGTCCCCAGGGACATCGCCGAGGACGCCTCGCCCTCGTTCGCGTCCTCGCCGCCACTACCACACCCCACCTCACACATCGCGGGCTTCGCGTTTGGGGCGGCGGGAAATGGCCGAGGCCGGGAAGTCGCCGGCGGCTCCTCGGCCGCCGGACAGTACGGGCAGGCGCTGGTTTCCCCCCCATCCTTCCCGGACCCCCGCGAGACGTCGGCGGAGAAGCCTCGATGGCACTGCGGGCAAAAGAGGATCCCGACGGGCGCGGTGATTCGCGCGAAGGGCCCCTGGATCACCACCCGCCGGGGCTGCGGGGGCTCCGCCGAATCCGTGGAGGCCTCGAGGGGGCCGTCTTTCACGGCCTGCCGCCGCCGCCTGGCCTCCACGGCCTCGCGCTGGAGCGTTTGGGCGTAGACCCCGGCCAGGCTCACGGCCACGGCGGTCCCCTCCCTCGCCAGGGGGCCGCGAGGCCCCAAAGAACGCGACGACGGCGCCGTGGAGGAGGCCGGCCCCTTCGGCCTCAAAGACGTGCAAAGGCCGTGCGCGCGGCCGCCCGCCAACGGCGATGCGGGAGGGCCTTCGTCGTCAGGGCCGTCCGCCCCCTCGTCGTGGGGTGGCCCTTCCCCGCAGGACAGAACTTTCCACGTGAGCAGCCCATCCGGGCCCGAATGGACAACTCCGTTCCCCCCTCCACAAACTCCTTGAGAGTCGTCGTCGTCGTTGTCGTTGTAATCTTCGATGGCGGCGGAGAGTTGGTCATACAACGCGATGCCTTTATCAATGCAGGCGTCGATCTGGGGATGGGGGCCGTCAACGGCGTGGTCGGCCTCCGGTTTGGCGGTATCGGAAGTTTTGTCGAATTCGTCCGAAGTTTCATTCGCGTCATTTTTTCTATCTCGGATGGCCTCACCACCCCGTTGAAATGGGCTCTCTAGACGCAGAGTCGTGGTGGGTTTGGGGTTCTCGCTGCTCCTGTGACGCACAGACGAAGAGAGGGGTTCAGTTGACGCATTAATTATAGGCGGTAAGGCACTCAACGACGAGGTTTTCGGCGCTACCTTCTTCTTGAGTGTCGGTTTCGTACTGAGAAATTCTTGAGGTCGATCGTCGAACCGCACTTTGAGTCCAGACTTTACATACGATCGAAGGACTCTAGTGTTGGACGGTCCGCTGTGGATCTCCCCGCGGAGATTGCTTAACGCTTGCTCAATTTCTTTTAAGCTATCCTTCCCTTTATTGTACATAAGATATACATGTAGTACTTTATTTTGTGTTTAACTATGAATCAGAATGAATATGTACACCTCTAATAACCTTCACAAGATTCCATCGACATACCCATAAAAGGTATGTGTGAGAACAGAAAGAGGTCAAAAGGTGAGACAAGATGAACTACAAACCTCACTAAGATCCTAATAAAATTCAGAAAAACTGATAGTTTCTTTTTGCATATTTTGCTTTTAGCAAAGTTCAACAGGGCTTCAGTTTATCAGAGAACGTCCTCACCTCGCGTATTTCAGCTCAATCCAGGTCGTTTGATAGGGAAGCCAACCGCCTGGTCCACTGAGTTGGTAAAGGAACACCACGTGTGCAGAAACCATCCACGCGCTCGTTTATTGTAACAACCGACACAATTCCCTCACGATTTCCCTGTTTGGTTCTTGTCTTCATCGTCCTTATCGGCGCAACCCCGATCGTTAAAATCGGAAATATTGCTTTTACTAGGGGGATGGGATTCATCCGTTTGCTTATTCGCCGTATCGCCCTTTTGGCGGCGGCGTTGACGAAGGCGCAGTTGCCGTTTTAGCAAGGCCTTGGGCCGATCGGAGGCCTTCGAATCCACAACACTGCGGGCGCGCTGTTGGTACGCGGCGAGCCGACTCGTGGCGCGTTGGCCTAAGGGGATGATATCCTCAATCGGTGGTCGCATCTGGGTCCGCTGCTGCTCCACATCACGGGCCTCGTTCTCCGCCGCGAGCTCCTCTCGCGCCTGATCATCATGGCCCACAAGGTCCGGCCCCAGCGCCGCATTCCACTCCTCCGCGAGGTCGATAGCCGGGGGTGGTGCCTGATCCGGCTCGCCCGCAGGACTGGGGTGATGGGCCGCTTTCGATGGCCTCGGGGCCTTCTTTCCACGCGATGTTCCGCCGTGGCGGCGATGGGCGTGGGCCGCCCTCGGCGGCGCCAGGGGGTTTGGCGGGTTC